GTCCATGGGGCTTCCGGCAGCTATTGTCAACAATTTCGTCGTCGTCTTGGGGCATCTCTCGGAGCTAAAAGGCGAAAGGCAAATGTCTTACCACACTCGTGGACCCCAAGACCCCAGGGGGCGACCCTGGCGTGAAGTTTCCTCGAGAGGCGATGCGCCTCTGGCTTTCGGTCTGGTTCAGTACTCCTGATATACGTCCCATGGTCAGTTTGGTCTGGCCTCGCATTGAGAATCAGCTTAGGAGCATGGCGCATAGTCAGATATCTCGTCAAGTTCGGGAGCCCATCGCGGCCATCATCGGGTACCTTCTGGAGGTTGGTCGGGATCCCCAGGCCCCTATTCTTTGGGACACGCCCGACTTTACCTGGCAGTTTTCGGAGGCCGACTTCTCGGGCTACGAGGGTTTTTCTGACATGCTCGACGATTTTCAATCAACGTTTCAAGGCAAGTACTGGTCTCAAGCTTCCACCCATTATTGTGGAGACGGGATGGCTGACGGGCTTGACAATTATAGCTATCGTAAATTCATCCAGGGGCTCCGCGCTTGTAAGAACGGACCGTCATGATCGACATCGCCACGGGCGGGCCCCTGGTCTCGGCAACGGGTAGCAGACGAGACTAGAGCCAAAATGGATGCGACTTGTCAGCGGTGCCGGGATGGCGCCGAGACTCCGCTCCACCGCCTCTGGACATGCCAGCGCAACCGCGGCGCGAAAGGCCCTCCGTCGTCGATTCCGACTTTCTGGCCCCGCGCGCCCATTCGTTGCATGAGAGCGAGGCTTGTTTGAAGGGGCCCCAGGACACACAAATAAATACACACAAATCAAACAATCCCCCATATTTTCCTATACTTCCTGGGCTTCTGCCTCCCCCCCACTTCCCATATGTTCCTATATTTTCGGGGAAATCGAGGATGAATTGTGTCTGTGTGTTTCTTTTCCTCCTGATTGTCACCGGCCGCGGGGCCTGATCCCCGTGGCCTCTGGACTGCGACCCCGCTCCCCATCGGGCGAGCGGGCCTGGCAGCGCCATATACATCTCAGCGGCGATCACGGTGTGCGTTGCTCTTTTTCTTGGGCCACGCGAGTCACGACTGGCCTCTCTAGTCGTTTTCGGCCACGCCAGCAGGGGCCCCGACGCTCGGGGACCTCGATTCGGACGCATCGGCATCGCGGTCAACACCATGCTTTCCCACGACCCCCCTGGAGCTGGATCGATTATCATGGGGCCCCCTCCCTGGTCGTAGGCAGACGGCTCCCTGAGGTGAACCCTATGGGCCCCTTCTGGCAATTACTGAAAGTACAGGTGATCTCATTTATGTAACAGGTAGCTCTGCTGTTGCTGATGGGCGGCATGGTGGGCTCCACCTAGAACCATCGGGGCGCAACAAAGGGCTCTGGGACATGATGAGAAAGCAGCTCCGAGGTGCTCAACGTGACTCGTCACGCATCGTTGTGCTCCAGGTTGCTTCTCACCTATCGACTCCAGAAACGGGGGCAAACAGGGCACTCCAGATTTCGTAATAAAAGGGAGGGGGTCTGGACCCTCCAAGACAAGTCATTTCAGACCTCCCCCGTGGGAGAACCCTCCAAAACATCGTCCCCAGACCCCCCCAGGCCCTCCAAGATAGCCTGGAAAAGACCCCCCCGAAATTAGACCCCCCTCGTTTTATTACGAAATCTGGAGTACCTCTCTCTCTCTCATGATAGGCAATACGGTGGCGGACGAACTGGCTGGAGTGGCCGCGGCGTCCGCTCGACTCCCCGAATCTCTTCGCGGCAAGATCTGGGCGTGTTATATAAATATATAATAATAATAATAATAATAATAATAATAATAATAATAATAATAATAATAATAATAATAATAATAATAATAAACTTGTCCTTCGACGACGCCTGCTCCGCGCGGGCCTGGAGGCCCTCAACACTGCGGCTTCCTCACAGCCCCCCACACGTCGAGGAGTTCGACACAGGCGGGGCCTCCTCCTCCTCCTCCTCCTCCTCCTCCTCCTCCTCTGTCTTTAGATATTGTCACAGCTTTTGAGACAAGCCACGCTCTGGATGAGAGTGGCAAGAGGTGCCGCCGTTGTCGGGGTTCTGCCACCGACGCGGCCGTGA